AGTATGCTGACTGTAGTTCAGATTGAAAGCTAGTCAACAAATGAGTATTGTATTTCAGTTGCTGTTATAATTCAGCATACTGTTCCTATCTTTTAAGTGAAAACTCTGACCAAATGCAGGAATAGAATGAAAAGTAAAATTTTTAACAAATAGACTGCTGCTAAAAATTAGCAACAAACACATGATTCATGCCAGAAAATTCTCTGTAGTTGTAGGTGAATGAAAGTGGAGGGGACAGAAAGGAAGCGAGAACGCAGAGAGCACTGTTGGCCCCCGGGGGGGCGGGCGGAAGGGAGGGGAGGGGGACACCTGACGGGGGGTGGGTAGGAAGCATCTTACCTGGTAGGAGGGTGAGAGAGGGCAGGTCAGGAGGCTGAGGGACTAGAAGATGCTCAGAGAAGGGAGAATGTCCGGGGAAGTGGGAGGGCTGACCAGGAGGAGGGGAAACTGTGAGGGACCTTGCTGGGCCCATTAAGAGTAAATAGAAACTCGGCTTCCCTGGTGGCGCAGTGGTTAAGAATCTGCCTGCCAGTGCAGGGGACATGGGTTCGAGCCCTGGTCCGGGAAGATCCCACATGCCGCGGAGCAGCTAAGCCTGTGTGCCACAACTAGTGAGCCTGCGCTCTAGGGCCCGTGTGCCACAACTGCTGAAGCCTGCGAGCCTAGAGCCTCTGCTCTGCAACAGGAGAAGCCACCACGATGAGAAGCCCGTGCAGCGCAACGAAGAGCGTAGCCCCCAGAGAAAGCCAGCGTGCAGCAACGAAGACCCAACACAGCCAAAAATAAATAAATAAATAAATAAATATTTTAAAAAAGAGTAAATAGAAACTTAGAGTGAGTCTGATTCAGCGTACGGAGGGTATCACCCAGCAGTACTCAGCATTCCGTAGAGAAGCGGGGCGCTGGGGCCCACGTGCATGCAGGGTCTCCTGAAACAGTGTGGCTGCAGGACGGACGGGTAGGTGAGAGAGTGAAGGAGGGACGGGAGAAAATGAAGTTTGTATAATGAGGGCTTATGAGAGGGCTCACGTTTTGGCTGAAACAGAAGTATAGAGTGAACATTTCCTGAAGAAATCAGTAGTACATGGAAGTTTGTATGGGATGTGATGGTTTCCAGAATTCATGTTCTAGACGATCATTTTCATATCTAAGTCAGGGGAAAGTATGTTTTTTAAAATCCCCAAATTTAGTCTTTTCTTTTTTTTTTTTGCGGTACGCGGGCCTCTTACTGTTGTGGCCTCTCCCGTTGCGGAGCACAGGCTCCGGACGTGCAGGCTCAGCGGCCATGGCTCACGGGCCCAGCCGCTTCCGCGGCATGTGGAATCTTCCCGGACCGGGGCATGAACCCGCGTCCCCTGCGTCGGCAGGCGGACTCTCAACCACTGCGCCACCAGGGAAGCCCAACCAAATTTAGTCATTTTGACAAGATTTATACCATGTGGGATGAAATTTCCCCTACCTCATTTTAACTTGTTTTTCTTGGGTATTGAAATCTGTGATTAAAAAAATAGAATGGTGTCACCTTGGACACATTATTTAATGTCCTAAGTTTCGATTTCCTTGGCTGTGAAGTAGGACACCCCCCCACCCACCCCCCCGATGTCACTGTGCTGTGCGTTCATGAGCTCAGGTGGTCAGGCGCTCTGCACAGGGCCTGGCGGGCAGTGTGTGAGCCACAGGTGGGGGAAGCTGCTGCCGTCACGCCTGGGTTCTCATTATTTCTTACTGTGAAGCAGATGCTCACGCTGGCTTCACAAGGTTACTTGTGTGAATTATGTGCCAGTTTCTGCCGTCGTTATCCGCTGTACGGTGGAAGTGTGTCAGGAGCATGGGCTTGCACACACACAGGCTGAGAATCCTTGTGAGTAGAAAGGATTATCTCCCGGTCTGGTTGATGGTGCCCGGACCTGAGCCTTGGTTCAGGCTTCGGCCTGGGTTCTTATGCGGGTCCCGAGTCTCTCACCAAGCTCCCCCAGGGCTGTCAGACCAGCCAGAGAAGCAAGAGAATTGACACTGAATCCAGGTGACTACGCCAAGTAAGCACCCACTGAGTCCCAGCCCCTGCATTTCACCAAGCCATCATCCCCCAGGTCTCCCTGTCCTGCCTGGCGCCGTCCTGATGCCACCCCGTGCCCAGCTCAGCAGACGGACCTGCAGGTTGCTGGTAGCTCCAGCGCTGGCCCAGGTTCACAACTCGGTCTTTCAGCTTGCAGCCTGATTCTCAGAACACGGACGGGCCTGAGGTCCTTTCCTGGTGCAGCAGTCCCCCTGCTGTGGGGCAGTTCGATGCCCAAGGGGCTTTTCTGAGGCTTCGTGGTGCCGTTCGCTCCCTGGCTGGGAACTACCCCACCAAACCTGAATCCAGGCAAACCCTGCCCTAGTGACCTGATGCAGGCTAACATACACCTGCTTGTAAGTGATCGCAGCTCAAGTATTTGAAGAGAGCTATCGTTTCTTAATACACTTTAAGGTCTGAAAATGTTTTCTGTCTTCAAAAACAGAAGAAAAATAGGTGTTAATATTTTACTATTTGTAAGCTAAAGCCTCATGAAAAATACATATATTTCATTTTTAAAAGATTTTAAATTTCAGTGATTTCTTTTACCTTTTACATCCCATAGCTTGTTTTAGGCTGTGGTGATATTAATGAATCTTATCTGTCCCTTCTGTATTTATCTATTTGAAACTCCTTCTTGGTGTTCCCCCCTCCAGAAGAGGGACAGTCAGGTATACATCAAATTAGTTTAAGGAAACAAGCTGTATAGCTGAAACCGGGTTTTACTTAGGTGAACGCTGCTAATTTATGTAGTCAAATTGCATGGATTGGAGGCAGCGTGACCAGTCAAACCTTGCCACAAGCCAGAGGGCAGACAATTTTAAATTTTATTTTCTGGGCCACTCCAAGAAAAATGGTTTAAACATTAAAAAAAAAAAAAGACTGGGGACTATCCTGGCAGTCCAGTGGTTGAGAATCCACGCTTCCACTGCAGGGGCACGGGTTTGATCCCTGGTCAGGGAACTAAGATCCCACGTGGCACAGCCAACAGCAACAACAAAATGACTGAACCTTGATTGCTAGTTTGTTACCATCCAGAAAGTTTTGAAATACGTGTATACATGAGGGAAAAGGCCTGTAAAACTATACACAGGATACTAATGCTATATTTTATAAAGAAATACTTCATTAATAAATGTTCTTTTTAAGTTACCTGGCAAAATATCCATGCAAATGCACACCACGTATTTCATCAGCTTCGCATAAAAATAAGAGTAGTTTTAAAACGAGGAAATAACGCGGCAGTGAAAGACAGAAGGCAAGTCCATTGAAACACCTAGTGCAGATGTAATCAGTACCAATGTCGGATAGCCGATGCTATTAGAAATGTGTTTTTCTAGCGTATTATTACTATAGTAAAAAATAGTAAATATTGAAGAATATCCATATCAAAGCATCATATTAGTAAAGTCTCAAATAAACATTGCGATAAAATATATACATTTGTTAGGGGTAAAAAGCTTTTGGTTTAGTGTGAGTGTATACAGTATGTATTCTCAGGTATAAATCCAACATTTCTCTGATGTTGTTTGCTTCAGTTGTATCTTAATTGATGCCTTTATCTAGAGTGAGAAGTGATGTTCCCTAATGTCAGATGTGAAACACTGGTGAGGTGAGAATACCCTTGATTTCACCTAAAGTGATAAGACACAGACTACAAGAATTTAAGCTTTGCAACTTTCTGATCCATATGTTTCAGTACCATGTGTTTTTATGAAGATGTAATATTTGTGTGTAAATCTAATTTCGTTAATGTGATATAGCCAGTGGTCATATGGGTTTGTGGTGTTTATTGTGTTCATTTTGCATTATTCTTACAACACTGTGGATAGAGCAGACCTTTAAAGAGAGAAGGAAGGCAAATGTAATTTGCAGAAGCATTTTCAGTGTTATAATATGATGTCACATTTAGAAAGAACAGCTAATTCGTAATAAAATGACAGAAAAGTCATTAGAATTTTAAGTTTATGAGAAAGAAGTGTGGTTTTTGAAAGTTGAGAAATACTTCAGAGAATGAGGTGTTATTAAATGAATATTATTTTGATGATGCAGTATATGTATAATCAATGAATTTCTGGATAAAGAAGTGAAAAAAAGTGAGGCTTTCTTAAGTAAATGTGGTGTTTTAAAAGAATCTCCATAAATGCTTGAAAGGCCAACTGAAAAATGAAGTAATTTTTCAAAATTGAGGTATAGTTGATTTACAGTATTAGTTTCAGGTGTACAATGTAGTGATTCAAAAATTATAGATTATACTCCATTTAAAGTTATAAAATATTGGCTAAAAAGTGAAGTAATTTGTCTTTGTAGAGTTCTACTGGTAACCTGCAGTTATTGAAAAATGGTAATCTGTTTTAAGAGTTCAGAATTTTTAGCCAGTGGAATCTGACTTTATTATTTCTTTTGTAGTAATGTGGTTTCTTAAACATTTCACATTTTCCTGTTTCGTCAGAGATTGCTGATTTTTGTTATGGTACACATTCAGTTTCTTTTTCTTCTGTTGAAATAAAGCAGCTTCATAGCTGTGGCTTATGGTTGTGTGAAAAAGGTAGCAAAGAATAGCGTCTTTGAGAAGAGTGTCAGGAACACTGAAAGTAGACATTTAGTCTCTTGGATTAATGGGCAGGAAGCTCAGTAATTGCATGGATTTCAGTAAGCTTAAAAATAATATTCTTTTGGTTTTGTGGTGCTGTTAAAACATTGAGTTAATTTTTAGATGCTGCATTTTGACATTTGACTGTTTCGCTATGCCAGAATCACCTATTTTGTAACATGAGGTTATATATATATGTGTGTGTGTGTGTGTGTGTGTGTATATACAGGGGTGGCGGCTTCAGGAGATAAGTTCTTGACGTTTGCAGAGGAAAACTTAAAACATGTACACCTTTCTGAAAACTACCATTTATTTTCCTGCCTTCCACCCTGTTTTCCTGCTGTGCTTCAGGGCCCTCCAGAGTTCCCACAGCACACACCTGGACCTGTTCCCAACAGCTTCAGCCAGCCCCCGCGGCTTCCTCTTCAAGACCAGTGGAGGGCCCCGCCGCCTCCCCAGGAGCGAGACCCTTTCTTCTTAGGAGGTAAAGGATGGCGCAGAGTAACAGAGCAAAGCTGCGTGGGGCGACGTGCCTGAACATGCTTATGTTTTAAACGGTATTTAGCTCCCAGTAGGAGATTTTGTTAATAAGAGTGTCAGATTTTTGTCCCATAGCCCTTCTACCTGTCATTTCAGATGCTAAAATTGGACATTATTGGTATCTGAAATGTGAAAATCTCATACAAAGGAGGAAATCATCTATAGAAAATGACTAATGAAGCAATCTAGAAATAAGAGGCAAAATGTAGAATTCTTTTCAGACATTCACACCCAGCTACCTCTTGTAATTTTCGTCCATAGTAAGACAGTACATAAAACTGATTTCTGTGAAGTGTGTGTTCTGTGTGACCAGAGGGCAGTAACGTTGCAACGCCCTTCCGTTTCAGGTGAACCAAGGTTCCCGAGCCATCTCTTTCTGGAACAGCGAAGTCCCCCTCCCCCGCCACCTCCTCCCACGCTTCTTAGCAGTGGTCACCCTGTGCCCACTCCCAGCCCCTTACCATTCACCCAGCCTGGACCAGCGTTTAATCAGCAAGGACAGCAGCCTGTGTTCCCCAGAGAGAGGCCCGTGAGGCCAGCCCTCCAGCCACCAGGGCCTGTGGGGATTCTGCACTTCAGCCAGCCAGGGTCCGCAGCAGCACGGCCGTTCATCCCTCCTCGACAGCCCTTCCTGCCTGGCCCAGGACAGCCCTTCTTGCCTGCCCACACACAGCCTAATCTTCAGGTAGGCATCAGGGGCTGGTTTTGTGTTTCAGAATTCGAGTTAAAACCTTTCACATTTTTATTCTAGTCTGCCAAGATGTGGAGATTATTTAAAGAACGAGGGTATTCAACTTAAATGTGCTCTTTATTAAAGACAACTTCCTTAAAAATATTGCTTATCTCCTTAATCATAGGAGAAATGGAGAAAGTGATTGTCATTTTTTGGGAAATGAAAAAATTCAGTAGTAAGATTTTGTAAAGGATATAGTATACATTGCTAATGAAATTAGGGCATGTTTTGGTAATACCTTTGCTTATCATTGCAAGATTCTTAAAAGGTTAACAGGAAATAAGGTTCTTTGTCAAATTATGTTCCTGCAATATGTAGTGGGGGAAAAAAAGGGTTGCTGCTCCCTCATTATTTGAGAGATTTGAGTGCCCTCTGCTGGTGTTTTATGTTTCATCAGCTGCCTTGAGTCTGATACCTCTCTTACCCAGTATGTTTTTTCTTGTGTCTTAAGTTTCCTGTTAAGGTATGTAATGATGATGAGCTTGAACCGATTATTTAGAAACACATGGAATATGTACCTAAAGTAAGAAGAGGAAAATGGTTATTATATAAGATGTTACAGTAGGATAAAATGTTTTTTTCTTTTTATTAAAAATACATAATTTGGGAATTTCCTGGAGGTCCAGTGATTAGGACTCTGTGATTTCACTGCTGAGGGTGCGGGTTCAACCCCTGGTCGGGGAACTAAGATCCCATAAGCTGCCCTGCACAACCAAAATATATACAAATGTGTGTGTGTATAAATATATATACATAATACAATATAATGTAATATATATAATCACTGCATTGCAGAAATAAGTATAGATAGGAATTTGAAAAGGAAATGAAGTCATCCCGCCATCTAGAGACAGTTACCACTAATATTTGGGTGCACATGTCTTTCAGTCTCTTTAGTGCTTGCATCCTCATCGTGATGCTTTCTTTTCCCAGTTAACATGTTATTACCATCTTCTCATGGTGATGAGTTCTCTTTCACCACGGCATTTGAAAACACTGCACGAGTTGACATTTTACGGCTGTCACTATTTCTGGCACGTGTTTATTGGTTTCAGTCCTTGGGTATTGGAAACAGTGCTGCAGGAAACATCCTTGAGGTTGTGTTTGTTCACATCCTTAGTTATTTCCTTAGGATAGATTCCTGGAATTTCAAGATCTAAAGGATTTAAGGCAAATATAAAATGCAGGGTAGTAGCTTTTGGCTTATCACTGCATTTAAGATAGTATCAGCTTCATCAACAAATCTAAAATGAAATTTTAGTGCCACTTGAAGCTTCTTTCTGGTGTTGGGGTTTTTAAGGAAATGGCTGAATTGGAACACGAGCAGTACATACATGATAAACTGTTGCTTCTCTCTTGTTGGCTTGGAAGGGGCCCCTGCACCCCCTCTGCCCCCCTCCCCCGCAGCCCCAGCAGCAGCCCCCGCTCCCGCCCCCGCTCCAGCCACCCTCGCAGCACCAGCCGCCGCCGCCGCCGCCGCCGCCGCCGCCGCACCCGCACCCGCACCCGCACCAGCACCAGCACCACCACCTCTCTGTTCCTCCCCCGCCCCTGATGCCCGCGGCTCAGCCCCAG